CATGGCCCGGCTCTCCATCCTTCTTCCTGCCCTCCTGCAGTCTCCTCTCCAGCTTCTCCTCCTACCTGCTGAGCTCCACCCTCGCTTGGGTGGGACGGGGAACCTGGAACCTCCCTCTTTGGAACTTCTGTGGCTTACACTAATAATTCTATGTAGTCACCTTCAGGTTACCAGTGTTTCAAAACTAATGAATTTGATGACAAAAGTAGTAAAATACTAATAATGACAAGTAAAAGAGGTTTCTTATCTCACCAGGGGCTACTATTGATAATTCTATATGAATCTGTGCAGACTTTTCCTATGTGCTCATAGAGAGCATTTGTTTTGGGGATTTTAGAAAAAGTGATACTGTAGCACAAACATACTGGCTTGTTTCTCTTTTGTTTGTAATTTCACAGTAGTTTTGAACATTTCCACTGTTATATACATGTATTCTAACTCTGATGGATATTCTGTAATTTTATTTTTAAAGATTTATTTATTGATGCATACAGAACTGGGGTACAGGCCAGAGGTGCAGGGGCGGTGAGAGGATTCACCAGAGGCAGAGTGGGGAGCAGAACAGGCAAACTGATGAGGTACACTGCTGAGGGGAGCAGTGGGTGGGTCAGGAGAGGTCTGCCGTGCCATGTGGGTCACCTCCTGCTGAAGTGGCTTTAGCTTCTTAGTGCTGTGATTTAACCCACTGTGCCACCAGGGAGGGCCCTATATAAGATATTTTAAGATAAAATGTGAAATGAATTTTAATGTGGTGACATATTTGCATTTCCAACTCAGTGGAAAATTATGAAGTCTTCATTAAAACTTACCTATTTCCCAACTTTTTCTCTTTCTTCCCTGCTTAGAATCCCAGTTCCCAATGATACCCACACATACTGATATGATAAAATCTTGCTAATGAAAAAGTTTAATCGTTGTTTGCAGTCCTTTTCCTAGATAATAGCTCACTATGAGCCATGGAACACAGTCAAACTGCTGTTTTTAAGATTGGGTAGCTACGCTGTGAATGTGCGGTCGAGTTAAGTTCATTTTTTCATTTTGTTCTTGATTATTGCTTATTTATTTTAATTTTGTTTTGTAGTTATGTAAAATCAGTTCATGGTTTTTAACACAAATGCACAAAAGGTTAATATGGAGACGTCTCCCTGGTATTGGACAGATTAGTCCAATGCTATACACACTTCTCCATGGTGCTTCATTTCACGTCACATCCTGGCGATCATACTACACAGTACATAGAGACAGTTCCCACTTCTCCATTGTGTGGCTGCATGTGGTTTTATTCAGCTATTACTCTGCAGATAGTTATGTGGATGGCATGTAGTGAGCCTTTGCTTTTACAAGTAGTGTTTTTGACACTGTGTCTTTGGAAGCAATTTCTAGAAGCAAATTACTGGGTCAAAGGGTAAATGTGTTTCTGGGTAGATATTGCCAAATTTCCTTGTAAAGCGGTTGTGCCATTTTGTGTTCTCAAACCTGTTTCTCCTTAGTCTCACACAGAATAGGTTAGCAAATTTAGAGACTTTAGTTAATTTCAAAGATGAAAAACATGCTCTCAGTCAAGTTTCAATTTGCTAAACATATTTTTAGCCATTAAAGTTAGAATAAAAAAGTAAGGCATGTTTTGCCTCAATAAATATTTCTTTAATTTAGCTTTATTCCCTGATACACGAGGTCTCCCACCAGCCCTTGGCCTTAAGTCCCTTGTCCTGCTTTGTGCTTGTGACCCCCAAAGCAGGTTCTCTGGAAAAGGTGACAGGTTCAGTTCTAATGTTAATGATATACTAGTAAAGCCACAGTGGCCAGAACCTTCCAACACTTAAGATGCCTCCAGTGACTCCGAGAGCTGCAGAATTGGTGAAGACAGCGGCTCAGGTCAAAGCCGGGCCTGAGACTGCAATCAAGCAAGCAGCTGTGTTGATATAGTAAAGGGTAGAAAATAGATTATTTTAATTGCTAATTGTTCTTGTGACCCCTACCAAGATATTTTTTTTTTAAATGTGGCCTAAATGTTCTCCTCGACAGGCACAACGAAGGAATTACAGTTTATTCAGATGCTGACATGTTGCTGATTGAAGCACAAGGAAGAGTAATCAAGGTGGGTTTTTTTAAATATGGCTTTTAACATTTACAAAGAAAATGATTTTGAGGAGTAAAGCTAGAAAGAAACAAGCTGTAAACAGCTACCAATCAGTCAAATATTCCTAGTTATTAGAATATTCCCTCCACACTTACCGCCCCTTTCCATAATCAACATCAAAATGTAACTGGAATTATTCTTTTGTTCATAACTCTCAGGGAAGGGAATCAAGGGGCAAACTTAAGGGCATCTTGCCCTTTGTGAGTTCAGGATCTTACCTTGGATAACTGTACAGATTTAAACTGCCCACTCAGCAAGAGGGGAGGAGTGGGGCGGGCTGCCCCATTGGACAACGGCCCAGCCTTACTACCCAGGGCCACAGGCGTTGGAGGGGGGCTCGATCACTGCATTTTAAGATGGGAGAAAGGCCAGTGTGTACAGAGAAGAAATCGATGGACAAACCTATAAACTGCCTGCCCGTTCTTTGAGGAATTCCTTGCTTCCTGGTGTCTTGAGAAGATGGCCTTCCCCAGACAGAGTCCTGAAGCCCTGCCTGCGGGGGGCGGGGGGGGGGAGAGGATGGATAATTAATGCTACTTACAGCCTCTGCCAGGGCAGAATCAAACTTGATTACCTTTGAGAAACAGGCCCTTAGGCCCTCAGGCCAATGGTGCCTGCAAAATACCTTCAGTCTTTAGTCAGTCTCAGACTGAGGTCTATCCCATTTTAACTGCATGAGTCCCTCCTGGGTTACATTTTTAACTTGGCATTTAAGCCAAGTCTAACTTTGTGATTCAGAACAAGATGTATACACAGGTGCAAGGTAGATGAGAAGGTTCTGGATATGAGGTTAATCTACAAAGTAGCTAATTGCATTAAAATGACTAAAATTCTTTTTATTTTTTAAAGATTTATTTATGTTTACAGAACTGGGGTACAGGCCAGAGGTGTGGTAGATGAGAGGATTCACCAGAGACAGAGTGGGGAACAGAACAGGCACATTGACAAAGCACACTGCTGAGGGGAGCAGCGGGCGGGTCAGGAGAGGAGAGGTCTGCTATGCCATGTGGGTCAGCTCCCTGGCCAGGGATCAAACTCATGTTACACTGGCTTTGGAGAGCTTCGTAATGTGGTGCTTTAACCCATTGCGCCAAGGAGAGCCCACAAAGATTTTTGTTTGTTTGTTTTTAAGATTTATTTATTCATTATACAGAACTGGGGTACAGGCCAGAGATGCGGAGGGTGAGAGGCCAACTACAATTTCTTTTTTATAATTATGGAAGATGCAAATAAGAAGAGGTGGGAGAAGAGAGCAAAATCAAGCAGGTTGCAGTGAGGAAACAAAGAGGAACCAAAATGGAAATCCACATTTAATGTCAAGGGAAAATGGCCCAATGTATAAATATGTAGCTATTCCTCCTGGAATTCCTTCTTTTCTAGAAAAAAAATATTTCCTCAAACTACTATACAGGGATAAAAGTAAAGTATTAGTATCTGACAAATGAAATTGGCACCAAGTCTTTTAAAACTGATAGCATATCAGCTAGCAAATGGAATTTGTGGTCCTTAACAAGGATTTATGTTTTTTATAATATGATGATGAATAACTTATAATGATGATTCATATTTTTGCAACACGATCACCACTGGCTATATTACAATAAATATATTTTAAAACCCAATAAAATCTGAAAGCCAGAATATAGCACATACATTATATTCATAGCCAGTATCCAGCACAAAGTATCTTGATTTATCAAATTCCACAGGAGGAGTCAAAAGGCTATCAGGCACTTTGTCTAGAACTGCCATCTTTTAGTAATTTGCAAAAACAACAAGCACAAAGGGAGAGAGGAGAGGAGCCCATTCTAAGTTCTCTATGGTCATGTAGAAAGCATGGAGCGATTTGGTCACATACACATAATCTACAGGAACGATGACAGTGTAGACATGAATAGGCACTATTCAGAAGGGGATGTCCACACATCACCCTGGCAGGACTGGCAGGGTCTACAGTGCCACTTTCCATGCCCTCAGCATTGTAGTAAACAAATACATTAAAAGCAAGATTCTTGCCAAGAGAATTATGCACATAGCAAGTCCTCTAGAGCTGAGATTACTTCCTGAAATGTAAAATTTATCAGTAGGAGTCAGGATCTAAAAGGCAAAGAAGAGTTCTTCAGGCATAGCAAAGATTTCTCCCACAGAGAAATGGGGATTCAGGAAGAAATGAACAAGAGAAAGGGTAAATATGTAGGCTGATATAAATGAATATTATCAACATATACATTAATAATGGTTGGTGGAGTTTCAAATGTGTGTATTTAACATTAAATATATGACAGTAATAATACAAAATATGACAGGTATTAATGGAGTCAGTGTTCTGAGGTTAGTATTCTTGGAGTAGAAAATTATTTTTTATATGAGGATGCATGTTGTGATTTCCAGAGTAACATTTGAAAAAGAAATATTAATGGATACCAATAAAAAGACAAAAGTTTCCTTTCATCTTACAAAGTCTTAAAAAGAAATGTTTGAAAACTTTCAACTTGCTCGTAGTGTTGGCCTAGCTAAATGTTTACCACCATGTGATATAATTACTTTTTGATTTAGAGTGAGTTTTTTAAAAAGATTTATTTATTTGTGCATACAGAACTGGGGTACAGGCCAGAGGCTCAGGGGTGGCAAGAGGCTTCGCCAGAGACAGAGTGGGGAGCAGAACAGGCAGATCTATGAAGTACAATGCTGAGGGGAGCAGCGGGCGGGTCAGGAGAGGTCTGCCTCTCCTGGGGCAGGCGGGAATCGAACTCATGCGGAAGTGGCTTTAGCTTCTTAGTGCTGTGCTTTAACCTGCTGCGCCACCAGGGAGGGCCCAGAGTGATTTTTATGAAAGAAAAAATTCAGACTTAAAAGGAAATACATTTTGATATTTTATTTGAGCATTTTAAAATTTTAATTTAATAGGGCTTTATATTTATTATCACTGAAATCTAACAGAATCTCACTGGAGCTTATCTGTGAGTAAAAAGGTTAGAACTAGAATGTTCAATGCATTTGAAAATTTAGGGGAAAAAAAATCATACATCCCATCGATCACCACAGTGCCGCCCAAAGCACAGTTCCTCCAGCACCTTCTTCCTGATCTTCTGGCAGTGCTGGGTTGGCTGATGTCTTTCATCTTCTCTCTTTTCCTCTTTCCACTTGATCCCTTGGCTACAATATCTACGAAGAACTTACTTGCAATGGAAGTTCCGAGCAGTTTCACAGGGATTTTGGGTTTATACTCCATCAATCTCCTAATGTCCCAAACAGTCATGTCTTCAGGACCTAAACAAAGTCTGCAGAAGTCAATTTCGATGGAAATGGCTCTGTCATTTTTTGAAATTCTACAATCAATCCTAGACCAAGGTTAATTGCAGATAATTAGGGGAATTTCCTGGTGCCAGCTGCAAACTTAAACTAGTCTGACCGTAAATAAAACAAGTCATTTCTATAAGTATGAAAACAGGGTATAAATGAGGGAATAGCCAGGAAAGAGGTCTCTTGGACAGAGTCAGCATTTCCTGGGCTTGAACTTCAGTGCCACACTGTTGATGCAAAATCTCTGACCGGCAGGTCCAGGTCCATCAGGAAACACATGGCCAAGGTGGGCGTCACACTGGGAAAAAGAGAAGTCAATGCTGTTTCTCATAAGCTTTTTATGTGAAACCAGACAGGTGATCCCAACATGGCCACCCGCCCTCCAGGAGTTGCCATCTGCTGGTGATGTATATGGTATATGGCAGTGCAGAAACAGGTGAGTGGCTCAAGAAGATATGGTCTATATACACAGAGGAATACTACCCAGTGATCAAAAAGGTAAACTGCCATTTGTGGCAACATGGATGGAGCGAGAAACGATGATACTAAGCAAAATATGACAGGAAGAAATACCAGACGGCTATCTGTAACTATATGGAGTATAGAGAAAACAGACAGAGGTCAGATAAAGCCAAACTCAAAAACTAGCCCTTGAAAGTAGACGATGAAACTGAGACATTCAGAGGGGGATGGGAAGGAGAAGGGACAAGCACAGTGGATTAAGGTGGTGGACTGTGGGTGCTCTGGTTGATGGTAAGGTAACAGCACCAGAAGGGGAGCTCCTGTGCTTCCAAAATGCAAACAATGATGTAGCCACATCACCTCAAATGAAAACTAAAAAAAATAAATAAATAAGTAAATGAAAGTATGCAGAGTACTAGCACTAAGTAGCTCAAATTTATCAGTCAGTGGTTTCATGTAGGCTTTGACTGGCTCATCTATAAAATGGGGATAATTATACCTACCTAGTAGAGTTGTAATCGATCAGATGCATGTCAAGCGTGAACACAACTCCTAGGCAAGTACACAATGATGATAACCCTGTGTGTGTATCTGCCTACCTCTAGTGTGTTACAACATGAGCACCGAGGGCCCAAGGATGTCAAAGGGAACATGCTGCCTGCCTTGAAGCGACTATACCAGGCTCCTAGAGGGGAAAATGTGCTGATGTTCCTGCAATGTGGCTCTTCCTGGGCAACATGCCGCAGAGCGGAAGGAAGCAAGAGATGCTGACTGCCCCTGTTCAAAAGAACGTGAAGGCCAACTCTTTTTCTTGTGGACCCTCTTTCTGTTCTCATCTCTGGAAGGTGAGAACCAGGAAAAACTACTCAGCGGGTAGCGCAGGAAGGACTTACCTGCTGTGCCCAGAATGATGGGAAAGAGGGAGCAGAAGCCACCCAAGGAGACCCTGATGTGTTTTAGTGACAATAGTTCTCCTGGGAATAACACCAGATGTGCCGAGGACGTGAGAATGCTCAAGAACCTGGGCAGCAGCGGGGAAGACCAGGCAGGTGCAAGGAACACTCACCTGCTTGCAGACCACCTCTGTGCGCACTAGTCCCAAGGAGGTGTCCACTCGCTTCAGGATCCCGGTGTTACTCTCATCAGAGCCAGAAGTACCGTGAGCCTCAGAAAACGAAGGCCATCCAGAACCAGAGCAGTACTTCTTCTCAGAGCTGGTGAGACACCCACAAGTTGTGGTTGCTATTGAGACTGTTAGTGACGTAGCAGGGACATGTCAGGCCGGACTCATTCTTCTATCAAGCAGGACCTGACTTCCTCTCTCTTCTGCCAGATCCCAAGGCTAGTCACTTGAACCAAGCAGGTCCCCAGGAATGATGCCAGCTGCACCTTCACTGTGAGAGACATTGTCTCATCACAGCGAAAGGACTGCTGTGCATTTGGTGCTAACGGCGTCTCTCCCAGTGTCCGACGAGGACCTGATCTATGTGGCCCATTGGGAAGCAACAATCAAACCCATGTGCTCTAACTAGAGAAAAGGGGAAAAGCAAGTTGAGAAAGCAGTCAAAGGGGGCTCCAGGCACAGTACCTCCCCGGAGCAGGAGAGCTGATGAGGTGGCTGTTCTGGCGATAGGCACTTTGACCATCTGAGCCAGGCACCCGCCTGCCTGTGGGGATTTTCAGCAGCCGCCACAACTCCCTGATCATGGAGTCAGGCAAGCTGCATGGCCTCTTCCAGATGTTTTCTCATCTGTAACATGGGAAGAATAAGATCTACTTTCTGGAGCTATTTGGGGGACTTAAGGAGATACAGGAGATACATGTGCTGAGGAGCATATGTAAGGGCTCTGGAATGTTGGCTGTAATTAGTATCTGTGAAGAAGCACCCCCAGTGTCACTACAGTGAAGACTCACCTTGCAGGCACACCCAAAGTGGAGAGGGATGCCAGAGGCTGGAGGCTGGAGGAGATGGGGGAGGAGGAAGGCAGAAGCAGATTGACTCTAAGTGCTTTGAAAGGGGTCCCTTAAATGGAGGCAGGAAAAGGTTTTTAAATTTTAAATAGTGGGGAGATGGCTCTCTATATTTGCGGAAAAGAGAACTAGAGCACACAATTCATTTCTTCTTAAAAAAGACAATCAAGGGCCCTCCCTGGTGGTGCAGCGGGTTAAAGCACTGCACTAAGATGCTTAAGCCACTTCGGTATGAGTTCGATCCCCGCCTGCCCCGGAGGTGATCCACATGGCCCGGCAGACCTCTCCTGACCTGCCCGCTGCTCCCCTCAGCAGTGTACTTCGCCTATCTGCCTGTTCTGCTCCCTACTCTGTCCCTGGTGAATCCTCTCATCCTCCACATCTCTGGCCTGTACCCCAATTCTGTATGAATAAATAAAAAAAATCTTTAAAAAAAAAAAGACAATCAAAGCTTCGATGTGCTTCTGTATACATTCTGCTATGATTTTCTTAAGTACTGGAAAGGGATGTGGACTCCCAGATTGGCTGTTACAAAAAGAACCATGTAAAAAACCAGAGACCATGCACTGAAAATGAAAGGCATGACTTGTAGGAGTAAAAACTTTGACTTCTGAAAGACATGGGTGTGAATCAAGGCTCAACATGTCACATCTAGGTGACCTTGACAACTTCTTTAGTCTTTTAAAGTCCCAGTGCTCTATATGTAATGGAATTACCACTTCTCGGGTTGTTGAAAGGATTAACTGAGCTACTTCCTATATAGTGTTTTCAGCATAACGTCAAACACATGGTACATACACTAGCACTTGTTATCTTGTATTTCATTATTATTCCTTATTTCCATGAAATATGAGGAGTTGAGTGTCCAATTTGAAGTATCTTCACATTCAGATTTGGTGCTCTGGAGTCCTTTTTCATGGTTTTAAAAATATTCATTTGCACTGGTCTGACCTAGGGCAAAACTTCTTAAGTAACTTTAATCACAGCCTTGAAACCCTCAACATTTTACATAAACTAGTCATCATTAAAGGGCTTTTGATGGAGAATTATGAATATAGTCATTTTTAAAATAAAATCCAAGACTAAAAAAAGTCATTTAATACATTTTATAGGAATAAACCTTTACTGATGTAATTAACAGAATCCAGAGATTTTTCCAGGTAATATGAGAAACCCATCATATATAATTTAAGACTGGGAATCTAGATATTAAGGCCAATTAGTACTTCCAATATACATCCTTGAAAGATTAAAACTGGGCCCTCCCCGATGGCGCAATGGGTTTAAAGCTATCCTCAGCCACTGTAGCACAAGTTCAATCCCCGGAGGTGACCCACTTGGCACAGCAGACCTCTCCTGACCCACCCACTGCTCCCCTCAGCAGTATATTTCAGTACATCTGCCTGTTCTGCTCCCCACTCTGTCTCTGGTGATTTCTTTCACCTTCCACACTTCTATCCTGTACCCCAGTTCTTGTATGCATAAATAAATACATCTTAGAAAAAAAAAAAGAAAGATCAAAACCATTCTGGGCCATCTCTTCTAATATATGCTGGGAGGTGATTCTTTTGTTAAGTCTTTTAATGTATTTATTTGCTTCCCCCCTCTGCTTCCTGTCACTTCCAGAAATTCCACAGCCTCAAACCAACAGAAGCACTTAGTGATGACTGATCCTAATACCTTGGAAGAACTTCATCTCGTTGAAACACTAGGAGGGAGCACACACAAAGAGTTTTAAAGAAGCTGTCATGACATGTAGGCCGTTATGATGTTATATGAAAAGCAAGATAGTTTCCTTCTAGTCCAAGATTTATGACCACGAAATGTGTAACCCCACAAAGGGTTTAAACACTCCCAGAATGGGCATACTGGGGGGAGGCGGAGGAGGAGGGTGGCATGCAGAGGAGCCAGGGGAGGTGGGCATTGTTACATGATTCCAAGGCTAAGGAAGTGACAACCTGAGATTCCCAGGGGAGTGAGCATGTCTTCAGCGTGTTCTGGGCCAGAAACCCAAGCTTAGAGGTCTCTGAATGAGTCAGTAGCTCTCCCAGAACACGCACCATGTTGCTGGTGTTGAAAGCAAGGCAGCAGACAGAATGTAGCTCAGCTGCCAGCAGGCAGTGGCCCCTCATCTACTTGGCTCTGTCAGCCGGTTTTGGTTGACTGACTTTTCATTTCCTTTTGACTCTACGTAAACATCTGAAGGAATGTTTATCTTTTCCTCTCTGTGGCTCCCTATTAGTAGGCTGGACACTGGAGAGAGAGAGAGAGAGAGAGAGAAAATAAGGACCAACAAAAATATATTCCTGAGTCTATTCTCTTGAATGGGAAGCTTGGTCAGGAATATAGTCTTCATGCATGGACTCTCATTAATTAGAATGTATTCTTAGGAATTCCTCATTATCAAGAGGCATTCATTACAGCACCTCAGGATCTCCCTGCAGGGCTTTATCAATGCGAGCGTGTAACACGAGTGCCTGTCAGGTATCACTCGGATACTTTTACATGTTTTAACTCACAGCAATGTTCATGTAACAAGTTTATGAAGTCAGTGCTGTCATCATGCTCATTTTATAGGTGAAGAAATCGAGGCAGAGACTAGGAAAATTGCCCCAGGCTGCACAGACGTGGAGCCAGGATGCACATCCAGGCAATAACCACTTTACTGCTCTAAAAAACAAATAAATCTTTAAGAAGAGGACATTCTGGAACAGAAAAGGATCCTATGAACACATTCTTTTTGCTTAGTAGCTGCTGCTACAGTAGAAAACATAATAGAAACAAACCCAAATGTCCTTAAGAAAATGGAAACTTGTCAGCTAAGACTAAATGATGAGAAAAGAAACAGGGAAGGTTCGTGAATTGCCAGTTCAGTAAACTGGCCACTGGCTAAAATGGGATTCTGGAGAATCAGCTGCTTTACTGCCACTAGGTCCCGGGGATAGTCACACGATAGCCTTAATTTGGACGAGCACTGTGCTAACACAGTAGCAGGAAGTTTAAATTAATTAAAATTAAAAATTCAACTTTTAATCACACTTGGCATGCTCAACAGCCACATGAGATTAGTGGCTACCATACTGGGTTGAACAAATATAGAACATTTCCACTTACAGAAAGTTCTACTAGAGAGTTTTCTGCTCTGGTCTTTCAGGCTCCTTCCTGCTTCACCATTCTCTTATTTTCCAACTGAGCCTGCATACTGGGCTTGGGGGCATGGTAGGCATGGGGAGGCAGAAAGTCTTATCATTACTAGGATACAAACTGGAACAGCAATAAAATACAACAGTGCAGAATACAACAGATGTAGGAGAACACTCCGAAAAGGTTGACTCTTCATCTTTTGTCTTCAGGGTCCAGTGACAGAATCAGAACTTCTGCTTGGTTTCTGCACATGGCAGTCATTCACACTTTTACATGGTTCTTTGGCTACATACAGGTTGGGCCTCAAGGTCCTCCTCCACATCTTTAGCAGAATCAAAAGTCAAGGAACAACTAATGTCTCAAAAATACCCACGGGGATTACAATTGTGACCAAAAAAATGTACAAAATGATGTAAAAATAAACTATTATATTATAAAAAAATATGAGTCTCAAAAATATGAGTCCTATACTTTACTGTCGCCAAATAAACCAATGTTGCATTGGCTGCCATCTTGGATATCTCCTTATGAGCCAGTGAGAGAAGGGATCAGGCAAGGTCTGTCCTTCCTGAACATGGAGGAAAATCAATCCTCATCATTCCTCATCCTTGCAGGTGGGGGTCTGACTTCTGAATTCGGTCCACAGCAGCAGCCAGGAAGCCAGGTATGCTCACAGCCCAAAGGACATCATGAGGCAGTGCCCTAACATAAGAGTCACTGAGCTGGACTGACTTGCATTTATTCTAAACTCATTTAGGGTTGATGCAAAAGAAAGGAAAACATCTTTGAAGTTCTGGAAAACAGGACTTCAAAGATGCTTTTCTTCCTTCTTCATCAAATCTACTTTTTAAAGACTGTTTCCTGCATGTCTAAACAAAAAGGCTTTGTTGAGAGATTTCAGATCCTGATCGACTTAAAAGGGCTTTGAAATCAAGGGACAATTAAATTTACTTATAGCTCCATAGACAAGGGCATGACATTCACTACTGTCGGGCATTGGGGGGAATCTGTCCTCATAAAATTCTACATTGCCTAAATTGAGTTATAAACCCATTTTCTCTGGGAGAGAGCTTTAATCATGTGGCCAACTAAATGCTATTATGGTTTAGATTTTTCTAAAAACTTCCCCAGGAAAAATCCCTATTTCTCAGTGATACAGAAAAGAAGAATATCAGCTAAAGTCTTATTACCTTCTCTAAGTGTCAGAAAGAGCAAAACAGGCCAATATCTTATAATGGAAAGCTCTCTTTGGGCAGCCATGTCAAATGAGAAGTGCAGTTAAAAATAATGAGCATGTATGTATCCAAGGCCTCAAGGGAGATGGAGTTTATGAGCCTCCTGACGTTTCACCTCACCTGAACAGTGGGCTGTCACAGCACACACAGTGATACATTCCCGATTCCTTGTTATCCAGGTAGATGCCACTGAAAGGCTAAATAAAATAAATAACACATATCATGTTTAGGTTTCTCACATCAGCTGGAGACGATCCAGCAGTTTTAAACCTGATATTAAGAACCTTAATAAAAGAATTTTTGTACAAATTTGACAAAGTGCAAATGAGAGAAGTTGCAGTACACCCAATGAAGCAGCATGCAGGCTTATTTATAGCCCAGTGCTTACTGCGCCAAATATTCAAATGATGACTTTAATAGTGCTTCATATTTACATAACACCTTCTGTTCAAGAACATCAAAGACTGAGAAAAAGGCCGGAGACCAGTCCTCTGGATTGTGTAAGATTTTGCTCTCCATTTCAAACGAGATAATACAGCAGGAATTAAGTTCACTGTCTGAAGCTTTGAAAGCTCCAATTAAAGATAGAATGTAAATACATACAAAGCACAACTCAGTGAGGTGGGGGCTGTAATTTTAATAGTCTTCATGGTGGAGTAGATAGACACTTACTAGGCAGGGTCAATTTTTAAAAAAATTATTTTCTAAGTATTATTTTGCAAACTGGATCTCATTATTAAAAGCAAAACAAAAGAAGACCACTTTTGCCCAATTCTTTCTGTCGTGTCCTCTGTCAAAGAAGAATTCTCATATGAGTCAACTATGCAGGTCCGTGAGGAGTATATGGAGGCAGGCACACCCCATTTTATGGGATGGAAAAGAAGCCCAAGCACAGATTGGGTCACCAAGGCACAAAGCTGACTCAGGAAATAGCTGGGAGAGTTGTGTCTAGATTTCCCACCTGAAACAGTCCATAGACCTAAGATTCAAATTCCCTGTGTTGGTATTAACGGGGCATTTTCTCTGACTTATATTACAATTTCAAGTTAACCTACTGAGTACATCACCTGGGCACATGTGAACCTTTCACCTCTTTCAAAATTTGAAACTTAGCTGCAGAAATCCATGAACTAGAAAGCTGGTCTATTTATAGCCAACCCCCCCTGAATGCTTGCTCCCAACATGGGCCAAACTGATACCTGCAATAAGGGAAGTCACACATCCTCACCATACATCCATCTCAGAAACACTAATCAGATTCCACCACTATCAAAATTCCAATGGCATGCTTCACAGAACTAGAATAACAACAACAAACCCATGAAATTCATTTGGGACTATAAAAGACCCAAGAGCAAATACACTCCTGAGAGAAAAAGAACAAAAATGGAACTAACACACTCCCACAAAAGTAACTAAAACAGTGTGGTTTTGGAATAAAAAGAAATAGATCATTGGAACAGAATTCATAGCTCAGAAGTAAATCCATACACATATGGGCAACCAGGTGAAGAGCTTACAATGGATCAAGGACACTAAATAAATGGTGCTGAAAAACTGGACAGCCACATGCAAAATAATGAAAGTATCTCACATCAACACAAAAATTAATTCAAGATGGATTGAAGAGCTGAATCTAAGAACTGAAATCATAAAATACATACAAGAAAATATAGGTGATATGTTCTTGACACAGTCATCACAGTGTTGCTGGGGACTTCAATGCAAGGGAAACAAAACCAAACATAAACAAATGGAACTAGAGTGAACTGAGCTTCTGCACAGCAAAAACAACTTGCAGCAACAGGAAAGGACATCCTACTGGATGGGGGGGGGGGGGGATTTTCACGCCCTACATCTGACAAGGGTTAGATTACAAAATACACAAAGTACTCATGAAATTCAACAATAAAAAATGACCAATTAAAAAATAGAGAAATTCAGGCCCTCCCTGGTGGCGCAGCGGGTTAAAGCACTGCACTGAGAAGCTAAAGTCACTTCCGCATGAGTTCGATCCCCGCCTGCCCCGGAGGTGATCCACATGGCGTGGCAGACCTCTCCTGACCCGCTCGCTGCTCCCCTCAGCAGTGTACTTCGTTGATCTGCCTGTTCTGCTCCCCACTCTGTCTCTGGTGAAGCCTCTCACCGCCCCTGAGCCTCTGGCCTGTACCCCAGTTCTGTATGTACAAATAAATAAATCTTTAAAAAAAAAAATAGAGAAATTCAGTAGACTCCTCCCAAGAAGATAGGCAGATAACCATTAGATATATGAAAAGATGTTCATCATCACTTATTAGAGAAACGCAAATCAAAACAATGAGATATCATCTTATATCTCATTATTGTGAAAATGGTTGTTAGCCAAGTGTTAAAAAGGCTCTGGAGAGAAGGGAACCCTTAGACTATACTGGCGGGAATGTAATCTGGTACAGCTATTATGGAAATCAGTGTGGGGATTTCTCAAAAAATTAAAAATAGAAATTTCATATGGTCCCTAAGGTCCAGTTATCCCACTTCTGGGCACCTACCCCCAAATACAAAAAAGATTAATCTAAATAGATATAAATACCTTCATATTTATTGCAGCACAATTTATAATAGCCAAGAATTGGGAAGAACCTAAATGCCCATCAATTGATGAATGGGAAAAGTGATGGGGACATATACACAGTGAAATGGTATTCAGCTATATGGAAGATGAAATGCTGCCATTTGTAACAACAAGAATAGCCTAGAAGAAATGATGCTTAGTGAAATAAGCCATATAGAAAAGGGCACTGAATGCTACAGCCCTTGTATGACAAGATAGAGAAAACAAACAGGTGAAATAAATGTATTAAAACATGTGTTTGGTTTCTCAAACTACTAAAAATGGAGCTTCCATATGACCCAGCAACCCCACTCCTATGCATCTACACAAAGGACACAGAAACACTGATTCAAAAGGGCACCTGCACCCCCATGTTTATTGCTGCTCTATTTACAATAGGGAAGATGTGGAATCAACCCAAATGCCCAATAATAGATGACTGGATTAGTAAGAGTGGTACATATATACAATGGAATATTACTCAGCAGTCAAAAAAGATAAACTCATGGCTTTGCAGCAACATGGATGGAGCTGGAAGGGATCATGCATAGTGAAATAAGCCAGAAAGAAATAGAAAAATACCAGATGGTTTCACTCATAGCAGGAGCATAAGGGACCAGGGGGAAATGAAATATGGCGATGGCATATGGGTGAATGAGAGGTGGAAAGTCTACAGGGATTACAACAGAGATGAAAAATGGCACAAAATGGAGAATGATGTAAAAAGTAAATTAAAATAAATTAAAAAAAAAAAGTATGGGGCCCTCCCTGGTGGCGCAGCGAGTTAATGCACTGCACAAAGAAGCTTAGGCCACTTCCGCATGAGTTTGATCCCCGCCTGCCCCGGAGGAGACCACATGGCGTGGCAGACCTCTCCTGACCCGCCCGCTGCTCCCCTCAGCAGTGTACTGCGTCAATTTGCCTGTTCTGCTCCCCACTCTGTCTCTGGTGAAGCCTCTCACCCTCCGCATCTCTGTCCTGTACCCCAGTTCTGTATGAGTAAATAAATAAATCTTAAAAAAAAAAAAAAAAGTATGTTTGGACTACAAGACCAGTTTCTGTTTTCCAGAAGGGAATACCAGAAGGGAGGGGGAAAGAGGTACAGCTAGCTAGGGTAACAAGGGAGAATGGTATGCTGAAGGACATTCCAACTTTCATCACTGAACTTACTGTAGTTTATACAGATGTTTGTTGACTTACAGTGATGAACACCTGAAACTTACCTAGTGTTACAATGCAGTGGTAATTCAATACAAGAAAATGGGAAAGTAAAAAAGATTCTTTTGGTGATGGAGTGAAGAAGGGCTAGATGAAAAGCAAGCAGACAAGACAGTTGGAGGCTCTGCAGTCAGCAAGCAGAACTGGCAGGCCAGGGCCAGCATGGAGGCCAGAGGAGTGGACAGCAGTGCCGGCTGGAAGGCCATTTAGCAGACAGACAGGTGACTGCAAGGAGGGTGGAGTGCAGTGTGCGCAGCGGACTCTGCAGGCTTCTGTAAGTGGGTGGTGCTGATGTCCAGACAAGGGAGGGACCAGATTTGCAGAGCTGCCAAGAGTTAGGTTTTGTAGCCAGATCATTCCAATCCCCCCCCACACACACACCCCAAAACACCTAATCAGAAAAGAGTAAGTGAGTATCACTCACTGGTTCAGTTCCTTTTTTTCTGGTGACATAGAATTGCTCTGGGGTTAGCTTCTTCTGCCACTCACTCTCGGAGACCGCTGGCTCACGTTTTGTAATAGACCCTGTGTTGTTAAATAGGAACCATGTTGTTATTTTTTTAAAAGGCACCTGACCATATCTTCCTTAATCTTCCTCCCAGCGTTTGCTAAATCCAATAGAATAAGCCAGTCCCTCGATCTCCCTTCCTTCCTCTCTTTCCTTTCTTCACAGGGACCATAAAGCTCTGGTACAAAATGCTTTAATTGACGCATTATATTAAAAAGAAATGAGTAATAAGTAGAGAGGTAGTTTTCCAGTTCCCCCTGGAGCAGAGAAGCTAAAGAGGGAGCTGAAAAATGAAACAATGCAGAATATATTTTCTTCAGGGACCTAAGGGTAGAAATTGATCCTCTCTCCCATTTCTACTTTCAAAGGAGTAGTTCCTGTCAGGATACAGCTGGGAGTAGCAGAGTGATTGCAGGGAAAAGAACGCTGAGCTGGTAGGTTATTAAACTCCTCTCCCTTGCTGGTTTATAAAAGATATCTCTGATTTTGTTTGTCAAGGGAGGTCTTATTAAAAATTCTTGTGTGGAAAAAAGGAGGCACCTATAACATACAATCCTAAGGGGGGAACTGAGACCTGCTATATTGGCTTCATGGTTTTTGCCCTACATTTTGTTTGCCTTTTTTCTATTCCCTTTGGTCTTCATCTTACAATTTTTATTCCAGTGAATGTAAGAAAAGTGACTAGAACAATGCTGGCTAGCTAAAAGGGAGCTGGAAACTCAATGTCTATGTAAATGTTTTTATCATTCAACATTAAGAATTTGAAAGGATCTTAAAATCTGTTTCAACTCTTTAACTGACAAATAAGAAAAAAGAGGCCCTAAGGGTTTTGTAACCTGCCCAAGGCATGGAGGGTGAAATAGTTAACAGGGCTGGTGTCACCACCCACATATCAAACACATCAGAAAAACCATATTTGACATTCATTTCTGTTTATAACAAAAGTCTTAAATAATCTTTCAGCAAGAAAGATTCGTTCTACCATGAGACTTGCACATGTTCTGCAATGAACATGGATTACTCACGGCTATTTACATTTATTAAAGGATTCTTATCTGATAAATATATTTAAAGTTCATTTTCAGATACTTAAATAGCTGCTGTGATTGCACTGAGTGACATTTGTCCCTTGGACTACACTTCCATAACTCAGATGTCTTTGGGTTCCTTTTTCTCTGGGATCTGATGTGCACAGGCTCTCTCCTGTAGGCTGCATGCTCCTTGAGGTGGGCCTTGAGTTTCTTCCTCTTTAGGGACACCCTTCTGTTTACCTCTGTCTGCTCTTGCAGCTTTTCTGACCAAAGTCGAACATTGCAAATTGCCACATGTGAGCCAAACTCTTTTTAATAAATGCCTGTTCAATCTTAGGGAACCTGTTAGGAAGTGGGACAGAAAGGAGTCACAGTCCACTCGAATCTGCAGAATGCGCGTCCTCCCCACCTGGCACCAGGGCTGTTTTCACCTATGCTCAGGATGGCTTCCCAGCAGTGTGTCTCTAAAAAGTTATCTCTTACTCATCAGATTATTTTCTCCAGATATTTTTTATTTTCCTCTTCTAATTTGCTCATTGACAAACTCACAGGGGCCTGTGCCTCTTGCAAATTGGAAACCAGCACTGCACAGCAGCTCCCTCTCACTTTCAGTGGCCTCTCTCCACTTCCTCCAAATTCACAGTGTAGGTTAAATGTAGCTATGCCTTTGCCCTTCTATTCACTTATGTAATTATAACATTTATTAGTGTAATCACTAAATGCCAATCATCCTGTTAAAGAATTTTAAAGTCCCCTCCCCATTTATTCTGTACAACAACCCCATCCTTTACTGTTATCCTTACTTACTATAGATGAATTAACCGGATTTAAGACTACCAAGTTCAACACGTGTCCGGACACTGGACAGGGCAGCCCTTCACCACTGATTTCCTGTCTGTATTTTCTGCGATGCCTAATCGCTTCTAGAGCATTCATGGTTTCTTTGGCATTCCATGACCAGTGGCTATTTGGGCTGTTGCCAGTTTCTATTCTCAAAAATAGTCCTTAAAAAATCATCTTTGTACATATAGCTGTATTTTTCCCGTGAATTCTTTCCTTAGAATAAATTCTCAGGAGGGGGTGTCTGGTAAGTTTCACCCCTTCTCTTTGGTGGCTGGTCAAGTTTTCACGTTACTGAAGAATTTCGTTCCTGGTAATCCATTAGGCTGTTTCTGACAACCTCAAGTGCAAACCTGAAGGCCTTTGTGCTGAAATCACCGTTCTATGAGAGGGAAAGAGGAGAGTTCCAGCCCATCAGACAACAAATATCATGGGTTGGCTGACTAGAGACACCAAGGGATTCTGAAGGTCAAGGCTGGAAGTTATTGGGAGTCAGGTACCATTCCATTTTACCCGTCCTTTACTTATTTAACACCACATTTTGAAAACTTTCGAGCATAAAAAGTTCCAAGCCGCTGGGCACAAGGTCAACGTAGTTAGGTGTTTCTAACTGTCTTCAAAGGACACCTATCAGGATCCGATTCAGAGATGAAAGAGGGGCCGATGCGCAGGCAATCCGCCCCCAGGGGGCGCTATGTTATCCCGAAGCATTAGAAACGCCGCTCAGGTGAAGTAGGTCTCCCCAGGCGAGTCCTTCCAGGTGGGTGAAATGTAAATGTGCCCCAGCCAGCGAAGGAAGTCAGTCACATTTTGATTAAATATCCCCAAACACTTTTGTCGGCCGGTGTCACAGCACTAACAAACCAAGATCCCTTTAAGCCGGGGGCTGGGGTGCGGTTTATTAGCCCACCTGCTTCCCTGGCGTTCTAGAAATACACATTAAATAGAACAAGGCAGGAAGCCTTGAATCCCTCAGGAATCGCGAGGCTGAACAGCCCGCTTCTCAAACGTGCGAAGAAAAAACGCGAAATCCAAACAGGGGTCAGAGAAAACGGCCGAGGCTTACCTGAGAGAGCTGGGGTTCACTAGCAGTTTGGGATCGGGGTCAGGGGCTCCTGAGCGCGACATTCTATGGGCTGAAAGTGCGCACTTCTGGGTAGAGGAGACCTTTCCTCGGATTCTCAAGGGCTCGGTCCCTTCCGCCCCTCCCACTTCGCAACCCACCGCCCAGACCGCAGGGGGTCGCTGACCAGGGCTGGGAGAAAGGAGGCGCCCGCTCCCGGGCCAGTACTCTGGTCCCCAGTCCAGGCCGGAAGAGTGAAACCGAAAGCCCGGGGCGCCGCTGGGCCTGCTCGCTGTCCTACCTGCATCCCCATGTTCGGCTCTCAAGCCGAGACCGCCGTTGCCCACTAGGACCCTCAAAGCCCGCAGGGGTGCCTCTCGGAAGGGCTGACCCCAGAGGGCGCAGAGGAGGCGCGCCATGACGCCTGCGGGAGCCCGGGCCACGGCCCCGCCTCACAGTCCCCGCCCACTCGGCTCCCACCCCCACCACTGCCTCCACCCCCCAAAAGCTCACATTGGGTGAGCCAGGGCCCAGCCCTTACCCGCCTTCCCAGGGCGCGCTCTCTGGCGCCCCCCTCCTCTCACGTGTCCACCCGCAGCTCCAGGCAACTCCAGCTGACCCTTCCAGCTCCTGAACCAGCTTTGCCCCCGCCAGGCCCACGCCTTCCTGCTCCTTCTCTGACTCCTCCAGATCCTCCCCCTCCAGCGGGTCCCCAGGTGGTGGCACTAACCATCTCCCTCCCACGCTGCTCCTACTCAGCTCATTCCTTGGTTTTAAATTGCTTGGATTTTTCTAGAATTGTGTATTAATGGAACCACAGGTTAGTTTACACTTTCTTGAGTTGTATGTAAATAAATTCATACAACATGTACTTAATTTTTTCCTGACTTCTTGCACTCGGTATAATTATTTTGACATTCATGTTTTTACTTGTCATTTGTATTCTGCAACCTTGCTAAACTCATCTGTTAGTTCTAACAACGTTTTTACAAATTTTATCAGACTTTTTACATAGATGATGTCATCTATGACGAGTTTTCGATTTTTCCTTCCCCAAACACGTGCCTTTGATTTCTTTTTCCCTACCGCTCTAGCGAGAATCTATATTAAGGCTGCTGAGTTGAAATCGTGAAAGTGAATGTTGTGGTACATACCATGATTTTCATAATTTCACTATTGTTTGTATGATTGGCTTATTTACAAATTGAAGGAGATACACAGTTCCTTAGTAATATTGTGAAGATGACAGTTAATAAAACCATTTTTTAAAAGATTTATTTATTTATTCATACAGAACTGGGGTACAGGCCAGAGATGTGGAGGGTGAGAGGATTTACCAGGGACAGAGTGGGGAGCAGAACAGGCAGATCTATGAAGTACACTGCTGACGGGAGCAGCGGGTGGGTCAGGAGAGGTCTGCTGCGCCATGTGGTCACCTCCAGGGCAGGCGGGGATCGAACTCATGCGGAATGAGAGGAGGGAGGAATATGGGGGTCTATGCTGATGACAGGAGGGGGAGGGGCAAGTAAACATTGCTATAAAATGGACAATAAATCGATGTTAAAACAAAACCATTTTTAAAATATTATTTTCCTGATCTGTCTGGTTCTGTGCACATGTCACAGAGGTTTCCTGGCCAATTCTTTTTCTTTGAGGTTCAGTTTCTTCTCCAGAACTTGCAGATGATCTTTGGGTTGGCCATCTTGCCTCTACCCCACCCTCTGCTGGTTCCTTCTCTTCTGTTACAAAGGGAAAGCATTCTCTGCCTCAGGCCTCCCCTCCACTTTCTGAGGCTAATCTAAATCTGTCTCTGTGAGCTCCAAGGTAGCTAGTCCTTATCTGAATTCTGACTAATAATGATTTCCCTGCTAGTTCCCTTCTCCTCCCTCACCCTCTTTCCTCTCCTGAGCCTTCTGTTTACCTCTGCAATATTTCCACATTGACTTTACTCATATCTTTACAAGTACTCAAGCCTGCCTTTGAGCTCACATATTGCCCTACTGTGGCAGAATCTAGATTTTCATCCTGCATTTTAATTTCACTGGGTTAGCAGAACAAAGAAACATCGTTTATGCCTTTAAGCACCTTCAATAAGATCTTCGAAGGCAAGGTGGCAAATCTCTGAACATATTTATAGGCGCTGGTGAATCTTCTTTCTCCAGATGGCTCACCACAACAAGTTAATCCCACTTTATGTTACTGGTAATTGAATTCTCCCCTGAGAAGGAAATTGCATGAAATCCATGAACATTTGATGTATGGATAGTTCAAAACAGCCTGACTTGGAAAAGATTAAAACAGCCGTGTATTCCCAATCCCTCAGACCTCCTCACCGTCAGGACCCAGATTTTAATCTGCTCCAGGTGGCTACACTCAGGAAAGCTTATAGCTCTCAGCGTCTTCAATTAATGCCAAGTGTAATCATAGTTGGCAGAGTGCGGGGTGTTCTGGCACATTTAAGGAATGGGCATGGAACCTCTCTGCCAAGCCCTCAGAGTACTATCTTTTGGATTTCACTTTTCATAATCAAAAGCTACCATGATTAATGAGCTACAAACCATGGGCAATCCTCTATACTTAAAAATCAGAACCATGGGGAAAAAAGTAAGAGCAAATTATTCCACATAGGTTTGGGTTTCTTGACCTCAAAGGCTTTGTGCAAAGTCTTTCTTTTAGGACCTTTGCCATGCAGACAGCCGAGTTTGATTGGGTGGTGGTACAGCTGAGTGTGAGAGATGTTGCCTGCTGCTCTGTATTAGTCAGTGTATTTATTTTAATTTTGCTCTTGAACTCAGAGGTATTTGGAATTGGCCACATTTAAAAGTAAAAAACAAAACATTGGATTTGGGAAATAAAGGTATCACTGGACTCATCATTGCTGTGTGGCCTTTGGCCAAAGGCCATTTGAAAGAAGATGCTTCCAGAGCTTGTTAGAGGCTCTGCTCTGTAATGGAAACTGTGGCCCTGTGCACTCTCTTCAGCAAGCCATAAGAGTTCAGTGTATACCTCAGACGAAAAAGGAAGTTGTATCTTGGAAAGAATTAGGAGTTGAATAATGATTTCCTTTAATTTGATGACTATGCAAGGCTAAAAAAAAAAACAAAAAAACAAGTTGTCTAAATTCCAACAGGAAAGCAAGGAAATTGAGTTACAAAGCAGATGAAGAAACTATCATTATATTCAATGTCTCTTTAGAATGCTACAAGGAGTGTGGAGTAAAACTCTACTCTAGAAAGGCAGTAGTTTTGACTTACAGCTCTTTTGAGGTATGTAGCTTGGCTTTTTCTGACTTATCAAGAGGTCTAAAAGAATGAGAAGCAGCATTCCTATGTTTTGACTACAGTTAAAACTTACCAAGTCTTTGGCACATCTCTCAATTTTATAAGTTTATAAGATTTATAAATTCCCAAGATTTTTTTAATGGTACATTGATTTCATTGCACCTTGTTTTTTTTTTTTTTTTTTAAGATTTATCCATCTATACACAGTCCCCAGAAATGTAGGGCATGAGAGGATTCACCAGAGACAGTGGGGAGTAGAAAAGGCAGCTGTACTGAAATACACTGCCGGGAGAGCAGCAGCAGAGATAGGAGAGGTTTGCTGAGCCATGTGGGTCACCCCCTGCCCCCCCCCCCCGCCCACAGGGCTTGAACTCATGCTGCAGTGGCTGTGATAGCTCCACAGTGTTTTAACCCATTGTGCCACCATGAAGGGCCCACACCTTGTTTTTAAAAGCTGGAGAAATGGAATATTAATTCTATCTTACCACACATGACATAAAAGTCTTTATAATGACTTTGTTTCATGAGAGTCCACCTGGTTGGGTGGATTATAAACATTCCATTGCACAGTTTATAGACAGTGATAACAGAGCACTTGAACTTAAGTTGCACGAATTTACCACACAGAAGCAACCATAGAATTAATCTGTGGCATTACCTGTAAAGGAAGAATTGGCCACAATATATGAGACCCAGAGCCCTCCAAGTGCGATGGCAGAGAAGCCCGTAAAAGGGCTTTGCAGTTTGCTTTCCAAACTTCAGAGATCCACACGTGGCTCTCGATTCTGTCTCATTGGATGTTACCTCTCTCTTTGGAAATATCAGTGCCCAGTGTCCTGTTCTGCTATAAATAGCAAGAAAAGAATGTATGATGTTCCCCTTTTATCTTCCCCAGGCAGATAAAAATAATTGAAAATATGAGTAGAAGGGAAATCAAAAGGAAAACAATAGAATTAAGCCTCCTCCATTTACCCATCTCTACCTTAATCTCATAGAGTTGCACCTATAGTTACTCTTCCTTCCAGGGCTTCCCTTTCACCGCATCTTTTCCAAACCACTTCCAAAGCACTCTCTGGAACTCCATGTTTGAGGCATACTTATGTCTATAATAGCTGGACATAGGTGAGACCAGTATCTTTTGTTCTAATGAGATGACTCTGGGTGGACTTCTGGATGGAGGTGGGTAAATAGGAAGACCAAGCCATAGCAAGAAGCGTGCCATTTCCAGCCCCACCTGCATCCTCTGAAGAAGGGCGAGAGGCTGGAAATGGAATGAATAATACATCATGCCTTTGTGAGGGACTCTCCAAAAATTTGCCAATAGTATAGGTGTTGGAGAATGTTCAGGTTGGTGAACAATGCCACTTACCAGGAGGACATTCCAGCTCTATGTGGGCAGAAACTTCTGTGCTCTGGACCTTCCTAGAACAGGCTGGTTATACCTCTTCAGTGGGAGGCTCATCTGTGTCCTTTTTTGTGTCTTTTAATACGTTGGTAAATGGAAGTAAATATTTCCCTGAGTTCTGACAGCTGTTCTAGCAAATAATTGAATCCAAGGGGGAGGAAGAAGTGGGATTCATTGCCAAATCAAACAGAAGGTATGGTTAACCTGGGACCTACTACTTTTGATTGGCATCTGAAGTGGGAGGCTGTCTTTGTGGGGCTGAGCCCTGAACAAGGGGGAGCTACTATTATTTCCAGATAGGTAGCATTAAAATTAAGTTGAATTATAAGCCAGATGGTATTGCAGGAAAAACCCCCACACACTTGATGTGAGAAATGTGTAGTTGTAGTGTGAGGGTTAAGGAGAAATACAGGCAGGAAAGAAGTGTTTTCCTAATGCAAAATTAATGATCTTTTTGGTAGGTACTGTTGAATAAGCCATTAAATCAATATGGTGAAATTTTCATTTTAGCCATTTTATTTTTTGGGTTTATAATTTCCATTGGATTCTTTTTTTAGAGTTCTTTTTTTAGAGTTTCCTTTCCAGGTGGAGGTTTCACATCTGTTGAATCTGTTCCTATTACATCTTCATGTTTTCCTGGTGACAGGTCACTTTTTCCTGCTTTGTGTCACATCTAGTAACCTTTTAAATTATATATGTTGAGAATGCTGTTTAATGCTGAATTTGATATTTTCCTTCAAGGGTGTGG